TTTTTTTCTTGAGCAGGGTTTCTCTGTGTAGCCCTAGCTATCCTGAAATTCACTCTGTAGACCAGGCTGGCCTCGAACTCACAGAGACCTGCCTGTCTCTGCCTCCCAAGTAATGGGATTAAAGGGTGTGTGCCACCACTGCCCAGCTGCAACGGCACATTTTTATAGTTTATATAATCTTCCCTGTAACTTTGTAGGAAAGATGTTTTACATGTGATGCTTTGGAGACCCAGGGAAGTTCAGGACCATACAGTAAGGGCAGCCTCTCCCCTGGGCAGGTGCGTGAGATGAAGGGTCCCACAGAACACAGAGAGTGGGCAACCATTCATCTGGAACCCCGGCCCCAGGTGCAGGCCCGCCATGTGGCTTTGTGACCAGCCTGGTTTGGAAGGAAGGGAACAGGAAGCTGCCCTGAATGGTGGTTCACAGACCAGCACCAGCTCACATTTCAGCAGCCTGGCTTCCACTTATGTACCCCTGTAGGCCACTGTTCTATTGCTTCTGACCTTTGAGTGTTTGGGGGGTTGGTATGGTGTGTGTGAGTGTGCACACACATACATACACACACACACACACACACACACACACACACACACACACACACATACACACACACACATGCACCTGTAGGCTTGCACATACCAGCTTTTGAGAGTTGGCTCTTTTTTTCTACTGTGGGTCACGGGGATCAAACTCAGGTTGTCAGACTTACACAGCATGTGCCTTTACCCACTGAGACATCTCACTAGCTCACTTCTCTTTTTAAAATTTTTGTATTACATATTTGCTATTAATAACAAAAGGGAAAATAATAACGTGAGGAAAGTCTAGTTTGCGGTTGTGAAGAATCATGGCTGACATTTGAATACCTTCGGAACGCTTGCTGACTAGATGAATATGCATGTGTATGTTTGCACGTTTTCCTCCTCAGTCACCCTTAAAAGAGGAATCTCAGACCACTAGCCCCGTGCAGCCCTGGCATTGACGTCACTGGAAACTCTGGGCCTGTCTTTAGTCTTGCTCTTCTGGGCAATACTGCTCTCAGCCACAAGGGGGCAATATTTGCCCATGAATATCCCCCACAAAGCCTGCTGCGAATAGCAGACCCGGCACCTGATCTTCATGCCCTTCGGAGCCTTCTCCAGGGACAGAAACCGGTGACTGTTTTATCCAGGTCACCCTGGGCCGCCCTCAGCTCACTCTGCTCTCTGTACCTCCAAGAAACCCTCTTGGGAATTGGGCATTCGAGCTCACACAGTGGCACAGGCAGGTGGATGGATCTCTGTGAGTTTGAGGCAATCCTGATCTGCATAGAGAGTTCTAGGACAGGCAGACAGGGTGCTTAGTGAGATCCTGTTGAGATGCAGAGGTTCGAGGCAGGACTCTTGTTGACTGGGTGGCTCCTTTGGTAAAGAGCTTGCCTCACAAGCACAGAACCTGACTTGGATGCCCAGAAACCACACAAAAGGCCAGCCGGTGGCCGCATGCTTGTAATGCCAACAACGGAGAGGTGGGCAGGGGGACCCCTGGGGCTTGCTGACCAGCCAGCCTTGCCTCATGGTTGACCACCAACCTTAAAGAGACAAGGTTGGGGCTGGAGAGATCCTCAGTGGTTAAGAGCACTGGCTGCTCTTCCAGAGGACCCAGGTTCAATTCCCAGCACCCACATGGTAGCTCACAACTATCTGCAACTCCAGTTCCAGGGAATTCTGTCAGATCCCCTCACACAGACATACAGGCAAAACACCATTGCACATAAAATAAGTAAATAGAGAGGAAAGGAACGTGCATGGTGCCTGAGAAACTATACCCAAGGTTGTGTACACACACACACACACACACACACACACACACACACACATTCTTACATACTCTCACATGCATACACACATTCTCACACACATACTTACATGCTCTTACACTCACACACACATTCACACACACACATATTTGCGCGCACACACACACACACACTCACACACCTTGGCTCGTGAGGAAGAAACGACCTCACTCGTTCTCTGGCACTGCCTACATTTGACGACCTTCCTTCATTTTGCAGCCTTGGGCTTTAAAGGAAAAACTAGATGATGGAGCTAACAGGGCCACTCAGATTGCTCCCCTCAACCTGACACCCTCCGCTGCCTCCCCACTCCAAGGACTGAGTCAGAGCACCTTACCAGGGTCACTGGGCCCCTCAGACCTCATCCCTCCTCATCTCCCTCCACATGTTTTCTTCCTCTGTCTTTTGGGTTTGGTTGCTGTTGTTGTTGGTTTTGTGTTTAAGACAGGGTCTCACTACAAAGCTCTGGCTGGCCTGGAACTTACGATGTAGCCCAGGATGGCCTCAAGCTTTCAGTTTAGCCTTGTGCCTCTGCCTCTGCGGCTCTGGGGTTCCAGGCATGCACCACCATGCCCAGCTTCCTCTGTTTCCTAACTACCTTCGGCTTCCTTCAGCCGCCCCCACACTTGTCCGTCAGCATCAGCTCTTGCCAGGCACTTCCTGGAAGGTTCTTTCCTGCATTTCACCAGAGCTCACCTTCCCAGAAGTCTCTGCGGACTCCATGGTGTCAGATGATGTAATTCTCCCCCAGGCCCAGTACATCATCCACTTGCAAAACACTTAGCAAGCTGGATTCTCTGCCTCCCTTCTAGAAGGGGAGTCCCCAGAGAGCCTGGGGTCGGGCCTATCTGTTCACTTCCCCAGCACCTCGGCTCCCGGGGAATTCCCCTGTGAGGCTCGGGAGAGGTGTGCTCCATGGGTGCATGTCTGTTTCACCCTTGACCTTCCCACTCACGTGACCTCCCAGTGCCCACAGAGTCTCTAGAAATACATCCCCAGTAGCAGGGTCGCCAATTCTGCCCCTCATCCCTTTTGGTGATAGAGAGACCCGTGTGGTGTGGTCCGGTGTGGCCTCTGCCACTTACAGATTACACATGTATCTTATTTTCTTTCTTTTGTTTGTTTTTTGTATCTGTTTTTGTTTTCGTCTGTTCCTTACTGTTGTTGTGGTTTTGAAACAGGATCTCACATAACCCATGCTAGCCGCAAACTCATGACATGACTGATGCCAGCTTTGAACCCCCAAACCTTCCTCTACTCCCCTCAGTGCTCAGATGACAAGCCTGAGCCACCGCTGGATAGCTCAGGCTGGCCTGGAACTCAAGATCTTCCTGCCGCAGCCTCCCCAAGTGCTGGGCTTACAGGCCTACATCGCCACACCCAGCTTGGTTTCTGATCCGCACAGAGTCCACGGCTGAGCTTGCAGGGCTGTTATGAGAAACAAGTGCAGCCCCCCCTCCCCATGGCAGCCACCATGCCACAGTTCTCTCTCTCTCTCTCTCTCTCTCTCTCTCTCTCTCTCTCTCTCTCTCTCTCCTAAACCCTTTTCTGCAACCTCTGGACGCAGGTACCCCTAGAACCCCAAGACCACCACTTGGAGCTCACACTTTCTTGTCTTGTACACTGACTAGCAGTACTAGACAGGACAGGTGCCCTGAAGACACTTGTCACGACCCGGCCAGCACAGCAGCAGCAGCTTCTGGAACGCACAGGTGGCCCGGCCCCTCTGCCTATTGCGGGCAGGCAGAGTGCCTGGAGTTTCTGGTGTTAGGAGCCTTCACAAGGCCTAGGCAAGGAACTGAGGAGGGGAGCCAGATTTTCCTGAGGAATGAAGAGGAGAGAGGGACTGTGAAGAAAGCATGTAGCCCAGAGGGGGAAGGAAGCTTCTGGAACCTCAGAGCCTAGATTCTTCTCTCCTGTACAGGGTTGAGGACCCTTAGTGGACCCCAGGGGTCTCCTGTGCAGGGCTGTGTCTCATCTGGAGACCTCTGTCCCAAAGGTTCAGTACTTGAAATCTAGCCTTGCTGTTTCTGCTCTCCCTCCCTCCCTCCCTCCTGCCTGCCTTCCTGGGTTCATGACGCCCAGGCTGCCCTCACTCTCTTTATAACCCTAGATGACCTTGAACCCCTGATCTTCCTGTCTCTACCGCCCAAATGCTGAGATCACAGGAGTGCATCCGTATGCCAGGTTTCCGTGGTGCTGCGGATGGAGCCCAGGACCCTGTGCATGCTAGACAAGCGCCCTGCTGACTCAACTGCCTCCCTAATTTTGAGGCTCTCTCTGTGTAGCTCAGGCTTGGCCCAAACTCTCTTGAAATTATTTACTTATACTACTTTCTTTTAATTACACTTATGTGGGGGTGGGGCTCATCCCACGGTGTGGATATGGGGGTCAGAAGCCATTTCGTTGAAGTCAGTTTTCTCTTTCCTCCTGGTAGGACCCAGGGTTTGAACTCAGGCCCTCAGCTTTGGTGGCAAGCGCCTTTACCCACTGAGCCACCCCACCGGCCCCTCTCAAACCCATTTGGCCTAGGTCTCCCAAGTGCTGGGATTGCAGGCCCCCACTGCCCCACCTGGCTGTCTGCCTCATCTGCGGCTGCTAAAAGCATGAGGGCCATCAGGACCCCCTTCTAAATCGGCCTCCTCCGTCATGCTTTCCTCCTGTGTGAGCACGTTAGGTCATAAGTGCTCCAAGGCTCCATCGCTGTCCTCCTGGCCCGTCTTTGCTGTCCTTGTCTTGTGAGATGAGAGCGCCCCCGGGTCTTCGTCACTGATGACAAGCATCCACCCTCTTTCCAGCCGGAACCTTCAGCTGATGAATAAGACTTGATTTGTCCCATGAACCATCACCACCCCCGCCCGATTCATTCCATTCAAAGGCTTTCGCTCCAAATGGCTCATCTGACGTTCATTGCTGGGAGCGGTGGGGCCCCCTCAGAGCTCCACTTCCACAGGTGGAGGGTGTGCGCTGTCTCCTGTGATGGGCTCCAGAGTGACGAGCTCTGACGTGGGTTCGAGCCGATTCGGGCGCTGTATCCGCCCTGCGATTTTCCCCTCTATGGCTGCTTGCCTCCATCCAAGGAACTTCCTCCCTCCCTGTATTCATCAGGCGTCTCTCCAGTATGAATTATGGAGTGAATGGAAATTTTCCCTTATTCATCGCATTCAAAGATCCTCTCTGCCACGCGGATTTGTTGGTTAGCTACTGAATCCCATCCAAACGTCTGGGCAGAGCATGGCCCAGAGTGAGGGCTAGGCTTTATCTTAGTTTGTTTTCTGTGGCTGTCGGAAATACCATGACCAAAGGCAACCTGGGGAGAAAAGAGTTCATGGGTTTACCCTGTAGGTTCAGTCCACCATCAAGGGAAGCCAGGTCAAGAGCTCAGAGCAGGAACCGGAAGGCAGGAACTGAAGCAGGGACCTTGGAGGAGTGAGGCTTGCTTCTCCTGCTTCTCCAGCTGCTGGTCTCACACCGCCCAGGACCACCTGTCTAACCCAGGCCGGTCCGGTCTCACACCGCCCAGGACCACCTGTCTAACCCAGGCCGGTCCGGTCTCACACCGCCCAGGACCACCTGTCTAACCCAGGCTGGTCTCACACCACCCAGGACCACCTGTCTAACCCAGGCTGGTCTCACACCGCCCAGGACCACCTGTCTAACCCAGGCTGGTCTCACACCGCCCAGGACCACCTGTATAACCCAGGCCGGTCTCACACAGCCCAGGACCACCTGTCTAACCCAGGCTGGTCTCAGACTCGCCATCCCCGTCTCAGCTTGCTGCATGCTGGAATTACCAATAAGAGACAGGTGCCCAGCCCTCTGCCCATCTCTCAAACCTGCCCAAAGCCCACCTCTTCTCGGAAGCCCTCCGGTGATTCTGTGAGCCCTACACATTGACACATTTCTGTGAGAATTTGATGTCTGCAAATGCCTTCTTCACCTACGATCTATTTATACCTTATTTTCTCCTCCTCTGACAGATCTAACACTTGAAGGTGAGCCACATCTTGTCCTTTGCATTCTCCATGGAGCCTTCAAGTGCCAAAACACCGAGGAAGGGTGCTGTGGCTTGGTGACTGTGTCACTGTGGACACTGTGGCATAAGGAGATGGCCTGGCCATTTGCCTTTGAAGATGAAGCTCGCCTTCTCCAGATGATTTTCTATCTTTCCTTCAAGGTCGCACAGGGAGGAAGGGATTTCTTATTGCTTCTTCTTCCTCCCTGCTCTGCCCACCAGGCAGCCCAGCCACGTTAGCTCTGAAGACCCATCAAGTGACCGGAGCCCCCGCTGCCTCCCCTCTGCCAAGGAGATGGTACTAGTTAGTTGGGTGTTGTGCTAGGACATAGGAATGACCTTGGGAAAGGTCACTTGGTGACTAAGCAGGAATGGGCACTGGTGTGTCTGTCTACCCCATCCAGGGTGTGGGGGAGGCTGGCTCAGCGACCACCCCCAGTGTGAATTTGGAACTCTGCTAGGTTCGCTTCCGTGGCACTTAGGTCTGTACCTGTTGAGGACTTAGCGGACGGACAGTTGATGGAAGTAACACATAGAAGTGAAGGAATACACCGAGCTGCCCTGCCACCCCCTCCCGAGCCCCATGGGAAGGTCACATCCCTTCTTTCAGAATATGGCTGAGTTCTGGGTCCCACCAAGGATAGACGCCCCCTTCCCTGTTGGTTATGAAAGTCTCTTATCTCATGTATAAAAAGGGGGTGGCAAATGTCTCCAAACCTAAGTTCTTATATGGCCACAGCTCCCTCCTAACCTTTTAAAGCAAGTACCTGAAGGGATAGAGATGTAGTTCAGTTGGTAGGGTGCTTGCTTAGTATGCACGGAACCTGAGTTCCTTTTGTAGCGCCCCATAAGACGGGTGTGGTGGTGCATGGTTGTAATCCCAGCACTTGGGAGCATGTGGGCAGGTCGCCAAGTGCCAAGGCAGAGGGAAGGGAATGCCCGCTAGAGGCCACATAGGAATCCATTTGTCTCCAGTGTTCTCTACCACTGTCCTGGAAATGCATTTTGTACTAAGCGTCTCTCTAGTTGCCCCTAAGATCGCCATTCCAAGACCACGTTCCCTAAGAAATGACAGAAATGGGTAGAGGGAACAGAAGTAGAGGAAATGCATGCTCTTGAAGGAACCAAGGCCTAAGGTGAAAGGTTACCCTAACCCAGGCCCTCCAGGGAGCTGCTGATGTCCACCCCAAAGAGGGCTGCTGGGAACCTGCTCAAGACAGTAGTTGGAAGCTGTAAAGACACCCCCTCCGAGTCTTGATGGCACACACCAGGAGTCGTAGCTCTTGGGAGACGGAGGCAAGGCACTTAAGAGTTCAAAGTGCAGTTGAGGCTGGCCCGGGCAACTTACTTGAAATCCCTTCTCCATGCTGCATTTCCATACCCCTACTTCCCATTCTGAGGTTACCAGCAGTGCTCCCAGCCTCTCTCTGTCTCTGTCTCTCTTTCAAAAAAGGGTTTCTCTGTGTAACAGCTCAGGCTGTCCTGGAACTCACTCTGTAGACCAGACTGGCCTTGAACTCACAGAGGTCTGCCTGCCTCTGCTTCTTGAGTACGTGAGAGACTCTCCTAACAGTACCTCACTTGTTAGCGCTCACAGTGACCTGGGAGTCCCATGCAGCGTCTCATTGAATCTTCTCAACAAGCCTTTGGAATCCGTCTTTGGGCCATGTTACAACTGAGGGAAATAGGTGTGGAGAGCTTTACTCAGATCTCTCTCAAAGCCCTGCAACTCCTGGGTAGAGAATCTGGGACTCAAATGTACACCTTCCTAGTAACTATGCCCATGAAAGTCCTGGGGTCGGTTGCAGGAGTTTCAGTTCCATTTGCTGGTTGAAAATAGCACTGTTTTTACAGTCTCATCTTTAGCCTGCCCAAACCTATCCAATATTTTACAGGTACATGAGCTCCCTGTAAGAGACATAAGCTTCTTATCAGCAGACGCTAGTGTATCTGCTGTGGGAATTGAAGGGATTCTTGAGTTGGGGCAGATTCAAGAGCCTCTGGTTATGCCATTGAATCTGCAAGTCAGGCATTGTTAGGGTTTATCTCTGCTCCACTCTGTCTGAGACCTTCTTTGGATCGGCTGGAGATACCAACATGGTCCAGGTAGGGCTCTGCCTGCCAGCTGGTTGTTCCTCTCCCTGTAACATCATCTGGGGCTAAGATGCCTAAAGAGGCCCTGGCATGCAGGTCCCTGGTGCCTCTACCTTCTTTTATGTGTACACCGTCTTTAGATGAGTAGCTTCATCTTACGCTCTGGGCTATCAGAGCCCACACGATCAATATCCCTCTCCACTGCACTCCACTTTACCTATCCTACCTCTAGCCAGTACTTCCTAGGTGGCACAGTCATATACTACAAGATTCTACCTCTGTGCATGTATTCTGTTCTTTGGACCAGAATCTAATACAGGCTGGCCAGCAACTTTTGAAGTCATTTGACTCAAAAATGGAAGGAAATCCAGTCAGGCCAGGTAATTCCCTCCCCCCTTTTTTTTTGAAATCTGAACCTGAAATCAGACTAATTGACAGTATGTAGCAAGATGTTATGATGGTAATTAGGGCTTTGATGGTCCAATGTTCTGGCCAAACTCACAATGGAGAATTTTAATGAGGAAATAGGAAATAAGTCTATTATATGGGGAAAATCCACTTACTGTGGAAGAGGAAATAAACTTTTTTTTTGGAACAAAGGAAAAGAAGAGAATGCTCAGAGTAGGGTCATGGCTACTAAGCTGCCATGCTGCCCTGTGTCTCTCCAGACCGCCCTCGCCTGTGTGTGCCCTGTGTCTCTCCAGGCCGTCCTCGCCTGTGTGTGCCCTGCGTCTGTCCAGGCCGTCCTCGCCTGTGTGTGCCCTGCGTCTGTCCAGGCCGTCCTCGCCTGTGTGTGCCCTGTGTCTGTCCAGGCCGTCCTCGCCTGTGTGTGCCCTGTGTCTGTCCAGGCCGTCCTCGCCTGTGTGTGCCCTGCGTCTGTCCAGACCGTCCTCGCCTGTGTGTGCCCT